GGAGGCGGAGGGGGTTGGCATCGACCGATGGGCGTTGTTCACCCTGTTCACCACAGGGGCGGGCAGAGGCGGCAACTCGGGGCGCGCGGAGCAGCGCAGCCACAGCGGCTCGGCTGCTGGGAGGCCCCGTCAACTTTTTACCCCATCCACTTCGTCCTCCCCGTGCCCCCAGTCCTCCCTCGTCCCCACTCACCGAGGCCAGCGAACTACTTCTCCACGCCCTACTCCTGCTGACGCCAACGACAAACTTGTCTTCTCACTCCGTCCCAGCCCTTGCGCCCCCGTTCCTTAATTTCACCCCCCTCTTCGCCCTTCCTCCCACGCATCGCGCCCCGCCCTCATCTTCGTCCTCCAAGACATCGACGCGCGTGTCTGCCCCTCTCCCTCCCACCCCCTCCCCCGGTCGCTACCGAACTTCACACGCCCCAAGGACGCCAGCAGCGCCGGAAGCGGCGTCATTTCCGGGGCTGTTGTCTTTGGCGACGGACTTTAAAGGGCGGCGGCGGCAGCCCCAAATTTATTCCATCAGCGGAATCCCTTTTAGAGTGTAAACAGCGCAGAGAGGGGGGGCGGGCCGGGGGCAACGGCGGCGGCGGCGGCGCCACATCCACCAGCGCCATTTGCAAATGACGCAAAGCAAGATGGGGGTTTCCGCGACGCCAACGCCACCACCACACACCCGCCGACGCCGAGAACTACAAGGTCCGTGCACGCCAACGCCTCGCCGAACTGTGGGCTCCGTGACCAACAGGTCTAGGGCGGGGCGCTCGCCAAGCCGCCGCCAGGCGCCCCGGCGTCCCCTCTGCTATGCACGCAGGCCCGTGTGCCCACCCCACCCCACCCGGTGGCGCTCCCACACGGGGGTATCAATGGAGGGGCGCGGCTCGACGCACCACTTAGCACTTCCAGGAGGGCGGCCGGGCGGCCGGGGCGGCACGGGCTACAACTACCCTCCAGGCCGGCCGGGAGCCGAGCCCAGCCCAGCGGCGTCGGGCCAACCCCTCCCGGCCCAGCGCCGCGCCGCCTCCCCGAGGGACGCAGCGAGAGAGAGATGCGGCAACGCTGGAGGGTAGTAGGAGAGGGAAGTAGTTCAATAGTCTGGACGCGAGGGCAGGGGAGGGACAAGGGGGCACGGCCACAGGGCAGGGACACGGGGAAGGTCCACAGGGCAGGGCCACGGGGAAGGGCTGCAAGGGCCACAGGCTCAATGCCGTCCCGGCCCGGCCGGGAGTCTGTGCCCGTGCCAGCGCCAGCCAATGTGGCAACGCCTGTCTAGAGAGGATCGATTCAACAAAAGCCGGGCCGGGCGGGCGAGTCGCTCCTGCCGGGTCGAGGCGGGGCGGGGCGGGGCGGGGCCGGTGCTCCTCTCGCTCCACCCGCTACCTCTCTCTCGCGCGGCCTCCCTGGGGCGGCTGCTGCAGCCAGAAGACGACACTCTGGTTTATCGAATCGTTGTGGGGCAAGAGCAGGAGACAACAATTGGGCCGCAGCATCCCCGACGCATCCTCTCCCCCGGGACGAGAAGACCCTCGGCGAGGACGCCCCTCGCGGGCACGACCTCCCCGCCGGGGCCTCGGGGCAGGGCGCGAGGGCATTAGCTGGCGGCCCACTTGTTGGATCCTCCTTACACGACCGGCGTCGCGACAAACAAGTCCGTCTTCCACATCAAAAATCGCGGCGGTGCGAATGACCTCGCGCGCGGGGCGAGCAGGACCATCGCGGAGGTGGACGGCGCACCCGCCTCCCCCCCTCTCTATCCTCCCTCACTTGTCGTCCGCGACGGCAACACCTCGACCACCACCCCCTCCCCGGGCCAGCCCCTCGGGCCAGCCGGCCCCGGCCGAGGGTTGAAGAAGGCGCTCGCACGCGCGCCCGCACGCGCCGGCCAGCCTCACTCGCGGACACGCAACGCGGCGGCGCTCACGCGTCACCACAACACGGGGTCCGTCTGTAAGCGCGGGGGGTCAACGCCCCTCCCCGCGAGGGGCAAATCAAACACGGAATGCTCACGTCAGAGTCACGTCCAAAATCAACATTTCATTGGAAATCTCTATCGAGTTTTTGGAGGACACGATTGTGGCCGAAGCCAAGCCGCGCCCCCATCACCCAGCACGGAAGGGTGCAATGGGTGCAATAGGCAAACCCACGACTGTTCCATCTTGAGGTTTTCCTAAACGATAGAACTATTTATTCGCGATCAAACCTAACAGTCGGTGAGCTTCCAGGGGTGCGGTGCGTGCGACGCGGCCCTCCCAATGTGGAGGGGCTGGGAGGGGGAAGTCCAAGTTCAAGCGACTTGAACGCAACTCAAGGTTGACCTTTCCTACGGCTGACGCGCTCCTCAATAAACCAAGTCATCAGAGGTTGGGGGAGGGCGGCGGCGGCAAAGCTTGGCCGCGGGGAGGGCATTAAAGTTGCAGCCTCCCTCTAATCGGCCGAGCCGCACGCACACGCCACGCCCGGACAGTCTGCCTTCTTCTGGAAAGGGTCGAGGCTGACAGGTGATGCGAGCCGTCGCCAAGCACACGAGTCCGTCCTCCGTTACTACAAACAGGCAGGGCGCGGCGGCGGCGCGGAGGCGCGGGGGAACGCCGAGCACGACCATAGAGCCGCGGCCGCGGAGCAGACGGACGGAAACAACCCCCCCAGTGCCAATCTGACCTCCCCTCCCTTCGGCTCACCCCGCCTCCGGCGCGGTTGCCAGAGCGATCCCTCACTCACCCTCGGCGTCCTCCCCTCCCCCCGGCCACGCCACGCCGCGCCACGCCGGCCCACGGCCCCAGCTCGGCGCGGTGTGTTGCGCTCCGGGGGCCTAAGTGCACACGGCACGCAGACAGCCTGCCGCCACGCCCTCCGAGAGCCCCAGCCTCCAGCAGCCCGGCTCCAACACGGCTCCAGCCCGAGGGGCTCGCTCCAGCCCCTCCAGCCCGGGCCCGGGGGCGGCGCGCCCGGCCCCACCCTCTCACCCTCCCTCTCCCTCCAGTCACTCAACTCCCCCGGTCCAGTCCAGTGAAGCCAGCGGCCCAGGACCAGCAAAACCAAACGGCCCATGACGACCGCCTCGCCCTCTCCACCTCTCCCACATTCATTTACTTTGTATTCCACTTTTCCACCATTGATACGATGGTACAAAACCTGTACGTTTAAGGACACGTCACTATGGCACCACACTAGTCAACGGGGAGAAGCAAAATCGATACAAGGGACATGGTGCGTTTTGAACAGTACGGTAATTCTTCATTAGAAAAAAAGAACCCATCGTGCACTGAACTTCACTTCTGACTCACAAAAAAGAACAACCACCTACAGAGGTGAGATGCGCTGCAATCATATTTTGTTACCTAGTGTGCAAAACGAAAGCTATCGCCCTCAAAACGTAACATAGCATACCAAAAGTAAAGCTCGGGCAACTTAGAATGGGCTCTCCTGTGACGGAAACCATGAATAGAAAAACTCGCACCAAATAATTTACAATCAGTAATATAAATCACACTATACAAAGTCAAACTGACATGAAGAAAGTTTGAAGTATATCTGAATGGTTGAAGTATTGCATTTATCAAACATAACCTGAATCATTAAGAAATAAAAGCACTACATTCATTGGAGATTTAAAACTGAACAAAGTAAGGTTATGTATGAGGACAGCATTGGAAGTGTAGAAAATGACACTACACAATGTAACCTTTAAATTTAAATAAGATGGGGTAAAGAATACAGAGGGTACCGATCGGACTTCGTTTGAATCAAGGGGGCCGTCTATTTAGAGTAGAAACAACTTACACTTCGCCGGTTAACAGCCTTATACTGGGGGCAAAGACAGCCAAATTTCATTGAGTGGGCAGCACGGTGGATAGAAATACCGAGTAAAAAGAGTCCAAAATTACACCGGTGTCACCTAACACCGGTAGGGGTTGAAACGGTTGAAGGGCAGTATGGGAAACCTTTCGATATTTTGCTGGCTTATGAGATGCAAGACACGAACCCGAAGTGACTAACTGGACAGTTCCTTAGTTAATTTCTCAATTGGTAAGAACAGCTGAGACTAAACGGAAAGAGTCCTCCGCGGACGAGAACCACCAAACCGAAAATGAAGGTAACACTCGTAGGTTGGCAAACCTGCTAGGTTTAAGCCTACGGCGCAGCTTTTAAATTCTTCCGTTGCTGCGTCCCTGCGTCGCGCAGAGCCAATTGTTAGGCTTGCTGCAAAGCCCACGATCCGCATAAATCCAGGTGCACAGATATGGTGAACACTCAACAGGGCTTTCTGGGCAACTGGGGACCGCCCCCTCCCCCACGCACTCACACACCAAACAGAAAGACTAAAGAAACAAAAATGACGAGAACAAAATGACGTACCAGATGGTTAACCGTGATGAAATGAAACGCTACAAAATCAAGACGAACGAACAGCGCCCGGGAGAACAGAAAATAAATAATAACGATAAAAATAAATAAAAAGTCGACCCGGAGCGCACCGTACACGGAGCGAGCCGAGCTGCAACTAACTAAGCTCCCCGCCGTGCCGCGACTCAACGCAGCGCGCCGCCCCGCCAGCGAGCCAGCCTGCCAGCCCGGTGCGGTCCTGAGGGAAGAGGGGGAGCAGGCGACGGGAAGGGAGGGAGGGAGGGCGAGGGGGAGGGGTGCACGGAGCGGGGGAGGAACGGGCCAGCCCTCTCCACCCCTCTCTCCCCGGCCCGGGCCGGCCTAGCCCGGCGGGCGAGGCCCTGTCGCCCCACCCCTCCCGTCGCACCCTCCCCCTCGCCCTCCACGCTCACCCTCTCTGCTCGTTCGCCCCGGTTCCCTTTCATCTTTTCGCACCTTCCATCTATTTCCATCAATAGCGGGACCACTCAATAAAGGCACGGTCCGGTCCTCGCTGTACGCGCCGTACGCGGGCTGCTGCACCTGCAGCTGCACCTGCACGCCTGTACCACTGCTGCTGCTGCGGGCGGCAAGGGTGCAAAGTGCAGCGACCATTACGACGCGTTGCTGCATCATGCGGGCAAGGGGTCGGGCGAGGGCGCCGCTTACACCAGGAGGCGGGCGGGCTGCCTACATACCGCACCAGGGCCGGCTTCAAAGCCAAAGTAGGTGGCAACTTCCGCTACGCACATGTGCGTGGTGGTCAACTCCAGGACCCATCAGTCAGGCTAGAGAAACGACAACAAAAACCCTATGGCGTGTGCTTTACTCCCTTCTCCCCCTCTACACTAACAGCACCTGGGCAACGCCACGGCTCCTGCCCCCCCCCCCCTCCCTCCCCACCGGCCGCCACGCCCCGCCGCCCGGCAATAGGTAGGCAGCCTGATATGCATACGTACTCACGCGCACGCGACCAAGACCGGCGCACGCGGTCAGTTTTATACGGTCCTAATCTCTCATCTCAATCAACCCCCCACCGCCTCACCCCCACACCACTCGGCCTCCCCCGCACACCTCGACGCGGTCCGCGCCATAAGCGCTCTCGGGGGCGCCCTACCCTCTTACAGCTCGTTCTTAATTGTTTACATTTCAGGGCGAAAATGGGAGACATCTGTAAACGCATGCAACTATAAGCCCGCACGGTTGGCATCTTGCCTTGTCCCCCAAGAGGAAGCCACTCGCAGGTGGTGTCCGCGCCTCTCGGTCCCGCGGATGAGGTTATGCCACGTTCAAAAAACAAAAAAACTACCCCCAAACTACCCCACTTTTACATATGCACCAAAGAATCAAAGAGTTTACGGGAGCGGTTGAACAGGATGGAGCAGGGTTGCCACTGGCCTAACTACTACGGATTCACATTGAAAGCTCAATGAAACAGGGGGGACGAATGTATGGATGCGCAAGAACCACCACCCTCTCCAGTCTCCGGTAGACGCGCGGCGCGGCCGGCGAGCAGGGCTGCTTACTACAATGCTAATGCACTCCAGTGACAGGCGAGCGGCCACCCTATCGGACTCGCACATCCAGATGGGTCAGCGACCTCGGCAGCATCATCAGCTGACGGCCGCGAGTGCCCACGCGTCCCTCCCCTGCGTTAAAAAGCAAAACTACCGTACAACACACAAATACACACAAGGCGCGCGCATGCCAGCCGCTGGACCCCCTGCGTCCCGCTGTCCGAGGCCCTGCTGCTGCAAGGGGCGCCGCTCCGGTCGAGGCCTAAAACGAGATCAGGCCGTCTTCACACTCACTCTGAGCATGGCGGCGGGGCGGGCGCTAGGGCGGGCGCCGAGGCCGTGCCGGCCGTGCTGCGGGGCCGAGGCCGGCGCCGCCGCGGCACGCCATTGTGGAGCCCAGGCCGAGGCCCGGGCGGCGGCCGCGGCCCCCGGGGTGAATGACATGTGAACTCGTCTTGCGGCGACGAGCAAACACGAGAGGCGAAGCGCTTGTTGTTGTAGATGTAGGTGTAGACGTCATGTTGTTGTAGATGATGTAGTTGTTGTTGTTGTAGTTGTTGTACTTGTTTTATTCCATCACGCACCACTTTCAAGATTCATCCCAACACGTGGGTTACTACACAAGTCCGATTTTCGCTTCAAAAAATAAAATCACGGCCTGCACGGTGTTTTTTTTGTGAACTATTCGTTTCGCACTGACGGGACCAAACCGGGAGCGCGACAACAACCAAGCAAACCAAGCAAAATGATACACAACATCCAAAGCAACACAGACAAACCAAAGGCTTGACAGGAGACAGACAACTCAATAAGGGCTAAAGGCAAAATCAAAAAACAGGAAAAAATCACCTACCGAATTCGAAATAGTGGTGGTATGTACCGAAGAAATTGGAACTAGTTTGAAATAAACACGAACTGATCAAAAAACTGAGGGGAAAACAACAAACAAAAAACGGCGACAAACTCCCTACAAACAGAACACAAGGTCCAGTCGTACCGTGCAGAAACTAAATGACTGGGACTACCGAGACTAGCGCCCTGCCCCGTTTCTTCGGCTAGGGGTGTGTCGCGGCAGCAGGGTGGGGTGGGGAGAACGCCCCCGCGGCGCATGAGCGGAGGGCGTTCCGTATCAATCCGCGGCACGCCACGCCCCGACAACCCACACCAAGAAACCATCTAAAAGCATGAAGTAGGAGGAAACATGAGGTAAAATGATTGAACAGAAAGCAGCATCCAGAGCAACGACTTTAGGAGCAAGTCGGCGGCAGTGCTAGCGGAAAAGCGGCGGGACTACTTCCAGCTGCGGAGGCACTCCGGCTGGCCGGCCACCCCGAGTATTACCGACGAGCCGGAGTCGCAGAAAATCGATTCGAGCAAGCAAGGGGGTAGAGCCGAGCCGAGCCGAGCCACGTCCCGGCCGGGGTGGGGAGGCAGGGATTGGGGAGGGGTGAGGGGAGAGCGGGAGGGAGGGCGACGGCACAGGGGTTGGTGGGGAAGACCACCACCGCCGCCGCCACCGCCGGCCCAGCCAGTGGCCCCGCCAGCACGGGTAGCTACTGCTACTACCTCGCCTACATCTGCATCTGATGGGCCCGGGCGGGGTGTGGTGGGCTCGGCGGGGGTTGGGGCGTGCCGTGGCTGGGCGGTGCATGCAGGCGATATCTCGGCCCCTGCCGTCGCCCCCGAAGGGGTCGTCCCCCGACTCCCCCCGCGAGGGACGGCTCTGATGCGGGGGCGGGGCCCGGGCGGGGCCCCCGACAGGGTGCAGTCGGGGGCCGTGGGGGCCTCCGGGGCACGGGGCCAGCGCGCCAGTCCAGCGCAGCCCGCCCGCCGCCCCAGGCCACCACCATGGCGGACTCAGGTACCTCGCCGAACATGGCAACGCACACCACCGCACCCCGGGGGTTGTCCATAGGTGCTGCAGAGCCAGTATGGTTCCAGCCCCGGGCGCACGGCCCACCCCTTAACTCTGCACGCAGCCCTGCACCCTTGGGTGCACTGCACTTGCACCGGCGGAGAGGAGGGGGGAGGACGTCGTCGTCGCGACGAGCAGCAGAGGAGGGGGGAGGGGGAGGGTTGACGACGAGCACACACAAACAGCTGCGTCCCGACACCATAGCTTGCACGCAGCAATGCTGCACGCTGCACTCTGCGAGCCGCCCAAATAATCTAGTTAGCCGTATGGTCCATAGACATCGCACGAGGGAGTATAGCAACAGCATCCGCAGCCCCGGCACACGATTAAAAAGCTACCCCCGCGAGCCTCGCCCTGCTTCGCCTACCTCCCTCCCCTCCCCGCGGGCGGGTCGGCGGCCTGGGGGGTGGGGCGGAGGAGACGACGTGGCAGACAGCGGGGCGCGGCCCGGAGTCTGCCTGGAGCCCAGTATGGAGCTCGCTGGAGCCGAGCCCCGGACCAGCCAATCCCGTGACGCCCGCTCACGTTGGTCCGGTCCACGGCCCTGGACAACGCCCCCCAACCCCCACCCCTTTCCTCTCGTCCAGGCTTAAGCCGGCTTACGTGTCCGACTGGGACATAGCAAGCGCGCGCACCGCGCTGGAGAGTAGTTGGAGGGCCTCATTTTCCAGAGCATTTATGCGCGACTAGAAATTAAACCCATTTCGCAGTCCAGGGGCGGCCGGCGGCCCTTTGGTCTGGCGCGTGTACCCCACCGAGACCCGCGTCCAGGGGGGAGAACTAGAGCTCCGTACACAGCAAAGTACTTGGGAGTGTCTTTGAACACGCTCCGGTCTTGCGGGTTTGCCTACTCCCCCCCCCCCCCCCCCCCCCCCCCCCCTGTTTGGAACCACGGGCCCCATCGGGCCCCCCTTATGCAACATACTGACGCGTATTCAAAGATACACCCGGTACACGTTCGCGTCACGGAGTTACGCTGGACGGGGGGATATCTCGGACCCACCGCGTTCCAGCGTCGACAGATAGAGCTGCCCCCGCCCCCGCCGCCCCCGCCCACGACGCGTGGACGCGACAACAGGTTCCGCCGCGCATTTTCCCGCTCATCTGCCCTTGTCCCGACCCCGGGTCGGGTCCTGCTGAACGGCCTTATCAGGCTGGGCCATAGGTCAAGTGACAGACGGCAGGGGAGGGAAGGGAAGGGGTTGGGGAGGGCCTCGCGGGGCCCCGCCCGGGGGCCGCCACGGCACGACACGGTGGCAAGCACAACCGCCAGGACCCATTCAAGGCTGTTATAGGTCAGTGGAGGGAGGCCGCAGACAACGCCGTCGCAGCGGGGCGGGGACGAGAGGGGGG